CATACTGTGATGCCGTCTCCCGGCACGACGAGACAAAACTAATAAAACCCATTACAAATTAGGCATTTGTTGCTTCCAGTGGGGACATAATTACTGATTATAATGACTTATACTGTGTTTTTACGCGTTGCGTATCGCGCCACGTAAATATAAAACCATGTCTGCATTTGAGATTCCCTCAAAACATTGACAAACAACAAGCGCTACTCTACACTGCTTAAAACTTGTTTGAATCATCAGTGGCAAATTCTTTAAATATAAAAAATTTACTTGCAGGCTGTGAGTCAGAAGCACCAGAGAGTCCTTGCAAAGTTGGAACTGCCCCAATTTGTAGAACAGCCTTTGAGCACAGACCCATTGTAGGCTACTCTGCAGGTTCAGGAAACAGTCCTCTATAAAATGCGTCACACAGCGTCACACACTGCGGGCTTGAGTGAGGAACAGCCGGCAGACTTGAGAACGGCGCGGCCGGCGGATTCGACGAAGGAGCAGCCGGAGGGCTTGCGGCAACCACATGTGACGACCCCAGGCTGGACTCTGCTTCATCCACGGTGAAAGCCAATCCGGTGATCCACAGCATGAAGCTGATGTATTTCCTCAGTTGACCAGCATGGATCAGCTCTATGCATGACGAAGGGGATATCATTTGGAAGGCCAAACAAAGTAGTTTCGCTTTCACAACGAAACACACAGCATCTCCACAACATGGTGGCGGCAGCAACAACAATACTACAGTGAGAATAAAAGTTGCGCCTTCTTTTTTTGCGTGAACATTGTGGTATGCAGCAAATCTTCCCACACAGTGACATAGACGTGGAGGCATGTTTAAACGAGGCGTTTTAGGAGGGTGTGGACAAGTCTTAACTTTTATAAAGAATATCTCTTTGGATGTAAGACTTTAGTCTTTGCAACTTTACAGATCTTCTTTATGCACCAAGAACTTGTAACACTCCAAAGAGAAAGGAAAAATTTTATTTGCATCATATGACCCCTTTAAATGGACTAGTTAAGTGACTTTCACTTGAATTCCGGTGTTAGAACAACTGTACATAAAACCAAATTTAAGTGTAAGAACATGTATGTGTTTCATTAACTGAATTCAAAAGTGTTTCATGTACAAGCTGGTCAGAAAAAGACATTGCTTGTATGTGTCAGATTAGACCAATAGGCTTATACTTAACTACTTGCTATTTGTTTCACTGGATATGTCAGAGAATATTCCTTAAATTAAATTCACATGTGACGACCCCAGGCTGGACTCTGCTTCATCCACGGTGAAAGCCAATCCGGTGATCCACAGCATGAAGCTGATGTATTTCCTCAGTTGACCAGCATGGATCAGCTCTATGCATGACGAAGGGGATATCATTTGGAAGGCCAAACAAAGTAGTTTCGCTTTCACAACGAAACACACAGCATCTCCACAACATGGTGGCGGCAGCAACAACAATACTACAGTGAGAATAAAAGTTGCGCCTTCTTTTTTTGCGTGAACATTGTGGTATGCAGCAAATCTTCCCACACAGTGACATAGACGTGGAGGCATGTTTAAACGAGGCGTTTTAGGAGGGTGTGGACAAGTCTTAACTTTTATAAAGAATATCTCTTTGGATGTAAGACTTTAGTCTTTGCAACTTTACAGATCTTCTTTATGCACCAAGAACTTGTAACACTCCAAAGAGAAAGGAAAAATTTTATTTGCATCATATGACCCCTTTAAATGGACTAGTTAAGTGACTTTCACTTGAATTCCGGTGTTAGAACAACTGTACATAAAACCAAATTTAAGTGTAAGAACATGTATGTGTTTCATTAACTGAATTCAAAAGTGTTTCATGTACAAGCTGGTCAGAAAAAGACATTGCTTGTATGTGTCAGATTAGACCAATAGGCTTATACTTAACTACTTGCTATTTGTTTCACTGGATATGTCAGAGAATATTCCTTAAATTAAATTGGTTTTTAGACTACACACTGAAATCCAATTAAAAAATATATATACATATTTTGGCAGGTTCTCATGGAGTTCATGCAAGAGGCAAAATGCTGGAGGTAAAATCAAGTGCAGGAAAGCTGCTCTTCTCTGCTGACGACCATGAGGTTGTAGTTGGTGCAGAGAGATTACGAGTTATGGGTGAGTGAACAATTACATTATAACACATTTGAGGGCATTTTTTATGCTCACACAAAGCCTTAGCCCTGTTCCCACATAGTTATTTGGCACAGTTTATTAAGAGAAAGTAGCCTGTATGTATTTTTCTTATGTATTTCCTTGCTTATGATCCTCACAGGGCTGTTTTTTTAATAGAAAGTAAACATTTCCCAGATATTATCTTATTATTATTAGTAGTAGTATTACTATAATTTTTTTATTAGTTGTTTTATTGTTATTATTGTCAATTGTTTCAGGAACAGAATGTTGAAAGAATGTTTGCACAACCAAAAGGCCCCTCTGTTTCTGATCACAAAGTTAAGTAAAAAAAAAATATATATATATATATATTTTTTTTTTTTTACTTTTTTTCGCCACTGATTTATTTTAAGAATTAAGAAAAAAATAAATAAAATTTTTCAAGGTTGTTTTGTGCTGTATTTGATCACGTTGATATGCTTGTCTCAGGGGTAGTGCTAAACTTCCTTTAAAGTGATTACTCAAGCCTGTGTGTATCCATTTTTCCCCCAATGATTTTCCCTAAGCCACAGTTCATTACCTTACATCCACTCTAGCTCAGCACAGCCTGCAGTGTGAACAGGGGCATTTAGAATTGGATGTTTCTTTTTTGTATGTTATCTCAGTTGTTACTGGAGTGATGCCAGACATCTGAATTAGTGTGAAGGAATTTGGCGGACCACACAAGGACGAAGTGCACATTTTAATGCAAGGCAAATCCTGTTACTCTAATGCTTAGATAAATGCCTATGTCTATAGATAATGCCTATGAGTCTATAGCTTAGAATCAGTCCTGAGAGTTCCTGTCATGTAATAGGCCTATGTTTTAATGCCATGACAGCTGAGAGTGAGTCTAGGGTAAACACAACTTGAGCTGCCATCAAAACGCATCTGATCAACTTTATTAGGCAAAACACCTGTCACTCCAAGCAAGACTTATAAGGACCAATATTCCCTCTAATATTTGTTCTTGCATTCTTTCTGTTGAGCAAATTAAAAAAATTTAATTAAATTGTAATATTTTTAGGGCATAGTTGATACAACCACCCTTATATTGTAATGAAAAAAAAAATTAAAAAACCTAAAATAAAGAGATTTAATAAAGTTTTGCATTATACATAACTTTAATTTTTTCTTAGAAAGCAAATATTTTAACAAAACTGCTTTACTGCTTACTAATATTTGAAAACTCACTGCTATGCATGCATTCATAGTATTATATATGTATGTGTGTGTATATGTAAGTATATTTAAAAATTGCGTACACTCACATTAATTCAAGCTGTTTGTTTTTTTTAGTTTGGTTACACCACAGTTACAATTTTGTCTTGTTTATTGGGTATAGTACGCAAAAAAGATAGCATTAGCAGTGTTGGCTCTGATACAAAAAGAATATATAGCAAGGAAGGAAATACAAAATGTCTCACAAGCATTGGGGGAGCTGTGAAATTCAGTTCGCATTTTGTTCAACTCCACAGGAACAGCAATAATAGCAAATTAGGACAAACCCTGCAATATCTGCTCATGATTGCTGCTTTATTTAAATGTGAACGCAAACATGGAACTGGAAAACCTTGACTATTTTACTGAGCCAGTTATTATTATTATTATTTATGTTTTATTTTTTAAATTAGACAATTCAGGAAAAGTGTCACCTAAGCCAGAACAATGAAATGCCAAGTATTTGATTTTACTAATGAAAGGCTGCAATATTTTACACTAAGACCGATATGAGAGTTATTTATATCTAAAACTGTGATCCAGCCTTTTCCCCTGGAGCATTATATTAGTCTGAGCTGAATGTTATTCTTCATTAATTTTAACAATCAGATGTGAACGGGAAAAGCAATTTGCTCTGGTACCAATGTCACACCCAAGAGATGCTATGTCAAGCTTTGAGTCTCTTAATGTATGAGTAATTAGGCCATATTACATTAAAATATTAGATGGTTTTAAAGAATGGCCATATGCAACCATTGGTTTATTCCCATTTTTTCTATAATCTTTTATTTGATGGTTTCTGAGGGTGTAAAGAAATATTAAGGTTGAGACTAATAAAACTGCAAATTTAACCAGAGCAGATAAATAATATGGCATCAATGTATGAATAAAGTGTCTGTTTAAACTGTATTCTACTTTTTTTAAGATTCTCTATATGGATTTTAAGGGGAAAATTGTGGAATTCTGTGAAATTGATTAATAATGTTAAACAGTCAAAACATTAACATTTTAACACTCTTGTGTTAAACAAGAGTGGCAGGAATGAGTAGAACTTGTAAATGTTGTGAATTCTGCAATGTTAAGCTTCACTGTAAAAAGCAACATGTAGAATTTACCCAATAAATCTGAGGTAACAATTTGCATCCACTTTTTTTGGGTAGATTTAATTCCCTGTTGTGAGTAGGAAGGAGATCAGAGCAGAGAAGATAAGTGAGGAGAGAAGAGAGGAGGGCAAAAGAAATGAGGGGAGAGGTGAGGAGATCAGAGCAGTGAAGAGAAGAAGTGAGCAGAGCAGAGGATAGAAGAGAAGAGGAGAGCAGAGAAGACAAGAGGAAATGAACAGAAAAGGAGATCAGAGCAGAGAAGAGAAGAAAGGAGAGCAGAAGAAATGAGAAGTGAGAAGATCAGAGCAGAGCTCCTAGAGGTGTCCAGTCACATGAGGATTTTTTTGTATCCAAACTCTTTAACTTTACATAACAGTGACTTACCAAATCTGCAGTACAGGTGCATTTATACAACAAATAACTGAACCGCCTTGTTTACATGCAGCAATGATCCAAACACAGAATAAAGTGCAATACAACTTCTTCACACAATATTTGAAGGAATTAACCTGTTCGCTAAGCTTACAGCTTCAAATACTGTAACACTTTCAGAGGCCACTTATTCTATTTTAACAGTCAAAAGCACACACGGAAACTCTACAACATTGTTCCTGTGCACGTACAGTATCAAACATCTAGATAAGGATAGAACAAGTGAACACCAACATCTTTAAAACAAACTAAGGGTGAGGGGAAGAGGAGGGTATAGAGGAAGAGATCAAATTTCTTCAGGCTACATTCAGTGGTATTGACCAGGCCGGCCACGTGTTCCTTTTCTGTTAATCTGGGGAAGTCAGAGCAATGGTGTGTGTGTCTATTGCATGAGCTTTCTTTTGAGGCTGTGGGCCTTCTTCAGTAGTTTCGCCCCGTCAAGCTCCAAAAAAAGTTTTTGAAAAGTTTCAAACGTGTTCTTCAGCTGCTTTGGATATTCAAGGTTGAGGGCATATATCAGTCCCATCAGCAGAACACACGCCTTTGTTCGACTTCCACATCCTTCCATCACTGTGTTTCCCTCAATCACAATAGACACATCTGATGGATCCTCCTCAGCCATGATGTTGTGCTTCACAATCACCTTCATTGTTTTGTCTGTGTGGTCCCACATTCCTACATGTTAAAAATATTTTTAATTTACATATATTATTTAAGATGACGTTCCAATATATTTCAGTTTATCCTGCAGAGTAAAGGAGAGCAGAGGGAAGTGGACAGAAGACGAAAGGAGAAGGGGAGAAGAGGGTATACCAGAGGAGAGCCGAGTAGAGCTGAGAAGAGGGTGCAAGGACAATCCTCATAGAGACAGGGTATGGAGGGGTCTCGACCAAAATGCCCATGTATTAGTCTGCTGTGCTTCAACAGGTCTGATCTTTTTGCTGTTGTGAAGTTACACAACTTGCATTTCCAGTTCATTTTTCCATAACTGAGGCCTTTGATTAAGGTAACTACCCCTTTAAGGTCAATGTGATTTCTTTTATTTAGAAAACTTGCATACCTTAAGTCAGTCAATGTACAGGATACACTGGGTGGGTCAGTTATCTCCAGAACTGGTAACAACAGGGTGGTCTATCAGTGAGTCTTGGCTTGAGAAGGACAAATGAGAGTACCTGAAGAGAGGGCAAACATTAGTGAGGGTCTACATACAAAGTAAACACTAAGATATTACACGAGAGAAAAGATCAGACATGTACCTGGGATACCTCACATATACCAAATATATCCAAATAATTTGTTTGGGCTAAACTACAAACTGGAAAACACATAAAAATAACGATTTGCACTGCGCTAATTTGCATTGAAAAACCCATAGGGAAGCTAGCGCTATTAACGTCTTACTTTTATCCACATTATTTAGACACAAAACAACTAAAGTGCTTTCTGTGAGTATCTAATGTGAAGTAACACCTTAATACAACACAACACTTACAGACAGATATTTTTAGGCGGCCGAACCACGTCTGGCAGCATCTTAACACAAACTTTTGCCATGGAAATCACTGCCGTTGCCACTGCAGCATGTCGCAGAGCGTCAATAGGCCTGTGCAAATAGCTTACCTTCCTTTTCGCAGATGAATTCCATGAATTCGATCGCGGCTGGCAGCAAGAGGAAGATGGCCGTGAAGTTACCCGTCCCGCTTATTCAAACGCGCGGTTTGGCGCATGCGCGATTTGCAGTACAGGACTCGGTTCTGGGTGTGTTTTACCCTATTTTTCTATGTAACAGTTTTTACTTTTAACAAATAGGTAGTACGTGTATAATTTACCCATTACTTGATAGTTCCTTGGCTGACTACAATAATCAAGTACATTTTATACGATTTACATAATTACATTTACCTCTCTCAAAAATCACTTTTTACAGTGTTTCTATAATGTTGACTCTTATTTCATCCTTACTTGCCATTTACTGTAGCTTTCACCTGCCAGCAATTATAAGTCATCCATTTGGGATCTTCAGGCACTGTATCACTTTATTACATGAATATATTTAATCAAACAAAGCACAGACTGCACAAAATTTTAACAGCATGATTTGTCTTCCACTCACCAGTACATTCACAGTTAGCAGCAATCCGCAGGATAATGATATTAGCTGTCAGAATCTTTGCTCTAATTGTAATTAACATGCATTGATTATCCTTA